TTTTTTTTTTTTTTTTTTGATACCTTATACTTTATACTATATGTTTTGAGATTGGGGCCTGTGTCGGGCCTATTAATATTAAATAAACATAGATCTGCATGATTCCAACGAATGAAATATTTTTGTTAGAATTTTCATTCATAAATTCAAACGGGAGTAATAACATTGAAATGTTCGTTAACGGGAGTAATAATATTGAAATGTTCATTAGAATAGTCATTGAAATTCTACTGTGATATCTTTCGATTTGGTTGTAGGTATCAAGCAGCTCTGATTCTTAAAAATTCATGTTTGAAAGCACTACCTTTGGGGGAGGTACTTCGAGTCATGAACTTGATTATAACCGTGAAGAAATGGATCAAGATTGGGAACCTGGGGTGGCAACCTATTACCATCGACCTTCCAGAAAGAAACTGAATAGAATTTTGATACTTGCCCTTGAATTGGATAAAATGGAAACATAGTGACAGACATTGGGCCAAGGTGGTGGTTTCTCCCCTCATTCTTGGCTCAAGCTTTTGCAAATTTTGACTATGCTGTGGGTGGCTGAGTACGATCTTTAAGCCTGTTCTTATTCCAAAGCAGCTTTCTAGAACTTCTTATGGTTTATTTTGTTTCTTTTTCTTTCTCCGTTGTGACCAAACAACAATCTCATGAATACAAATTGCAATGTGCATTACTTTGAGAGGCAATCAGTGGTCCGTACTCCAAGGACTTGGTGATTTTTGAGGACATATCCAAGTCCATGTTTTTCAGAAGATACATCTTGGGAATCTCATTTGTAGTAGGATCATATGCATATTGTAGCTTGCTCATTCCCAACAATAAGAGGGTGTATGGAATTGACTGAATTTTTGGGTTATGGAGGGGCCCCTCTTATTCTATAAAATTTGAGTTGATTGTATCTTGCAGATTAATCTGTAACAGAGAGTGATTAAGTTGATGGAAAAGGTTCAATATAGTTTTTCTTTTAATTTTCAGTTTGTCAGTTTATTTTGTTCCGAAGCTCTCTCTCTCTCTCTCTCTCTCTCTCTCTCTCTCT